CCCCCCCCCCTTTCACAACAAAAGGCAGCCCCCACGTAAAAAAAATAAAATAAAATCCTCCGGGTGGTGAGAAAGTGGAGTCAAAAATCACAGCCAAGTGTAAAAATTATAGCCAAGCTCTGTTGTGGATCCCAGCCGATTGCCCTGGTAGCACTGATATTTGCAAGTGAACTGATGTGTCGCTTTTTAAAATAAAATATAAAATAAAATAATTCATAAAACCAAATGTGTCCGTATTCTTCAAAAATACTGCGTCGTTACCCTTCAAGCTGGAACAGGTCGCAGCCCTCCAGCTTCCCACCGCTAACTTTTTTACAAAAAAAATGCTTTCCCCAGAGGGCCCCCCCCCCCCCCCCCGCCCAGTAAAGTTCTCCCTGCTAAAAGGAAGAGAAAGGTTAAATATTATCACGGGAAATGGGGAAATAAAACAAAAAGGTCCAAACTTACAATAGCCAAACATTCGTGGAAAAAAAAGGGGACGGTGTAATTAATATCTTTGGTGAGCTGTTGCCACTGCAAAAGCCTGCAGTCAGCGTTGCACAGTGAATGCACAAGCTTGCAACTGCAAAAACACTGGATTCATTAACCATCTCCACACAGAGCGTGAGCATGCCTCGAGTCCCGAAAGCTGACCGAAGTTGTGGTGGGTTTTTTTTTTTTTTTTTTTTTTTTTAGTGTGTGCGTGTGTTTTACTTCATCAGTGCCAGCGGTTGCAGTCGCATGCCATGTAAACAAAGGTAACTTCAGGGGAAGCTACGGCTACTCAGGCTTATTCCCTGCACACACAGACACGCACACGCACACCCGCACACGCTCGCTGGCACACACCCGCACACGCAGATCACTCATCTTTCCGGCGTGCCACATTTTTCTCAACTTTCTCTTTTCTTCCCCAACGAACCCTCTTCGCCTCCCGGGCTGGACCCCTCTGCTGCTGCCCTCCAGCCCTCCTCTCCCTCTTCAATCTGCTTGTAAACTTGGCAGTTATTTTTCGTTTAACTGCGAGCAGAAGTCTCACTTTTTTTTTCCTCTTTCCCTTTTTTTTCTTTTTTCTTCTCCCCACTCCTCTAGACACCTAACAACAGCTTCTGAAGCTACCGATGGAGCCGTCATATTTATGAGCTCTTTCAGATCTGTTGCAGGTTCATTCCTTTTCTTGTGGCATATAAAATATAATTTAAAAACCAATTAAGGCAGTAGCAATCCCCGCTCTGCAAAACTGACTATTTCTCTGATGTAACTCTAGGACATCTTTAACGACAGTCACAAGGTAAACTTTAACTATAAACCGAGAAAATACGTTTCGAGAGGAAAGGAGGGCAGGAAATCTCCCTACACGAGAATGAGTCTGAACTCAAGGAAAAGCACAGCAACTCTTGAAAAGGAGGAGGAAAAAAAGAGATAGCAGAGCAGTTGGAAATGGTGGGGAGTCCGCTGCCAGATGCAGGCTGCGGATACTTCTAAAATGAGAAGAACCGGTAAATAGGTTACAAATCGAGGTTTGTATGTAGGCTTTAAGGAGAGGGTGGAGTTTGATGAAGAAATAAAATGAGCAGTGAGCTTAAAAAAAAAAAAAAAGAAAGATAGAAAGAAACGACAGAAGTACAGAAACACGGTTCAGTCACAAACTTTGCTTTGAACGCATGGAATGAAAACAAGGCCAGATCTCTCACAGAAGCACACTCCGGGGCACCGGAAAACACAGGGAAGAGGAGATACAGTAGCACATTTCCTCTTTTTTTTTTTTTTTTTTTTTCCCCCCTTCCATCTTCTTCACTCCTTTTCCTCTCTCCCTACTTACACGTCTTTCATCTTTCTTTCGGGAAAAATGAGCCTGAGAAATGGATCTACTGAGAAGTGTTGCGGGTTTAAAAAGAAATGATGGGGTGGAAAAGGGGTGGGGAGGGTTGGGGGAAGGAAGCTGAATGGAATCACATCTCGTACGGGAGAAAGATGTATTTCCCCCCACCCTCCGGTTTCATGCCAACAATAGACAAAACCACATCCAAAACACACGCACACGCACACATGCATACACGCGCGCACAGGGAGAAGCGGGGATAGCGGCTAAATGACAAATGTTTAGCAAGCAATCGTAATAATAGTAATAATAATAATAATAATAATAATAATAATAATAATAATAATAATAATAATAATTTCTCTGCACAATGAGCGGGGAAAGGGCGAGTGCGGCAGTGCCGGGGAAGGGGGTGGGGAGTAGCGGGAGGGAGGGCAGGAGGCACAAACCGAAAAGCAAAAGAAAACACCACCAACCACCATCGACAATAACAACAGAACCTGGTGCAAAGCTGCCAGATGGAGTGCAGGCAGAGGGAGAGATTGACGTGTGCATGGAAATATAGAGAGAGACCTAGATCGCCACGAAGAGCTGTAAATATATATACACACACACATACATATATATGTGTATATTTATATGTATATATGTATATATATATATATTCATGTGTGTGCGTTTGCACTCCGCGCGTGTGAGCGCGTATATATATATATATATTTATATATATATGTATGTGCATATAGGTGAGTGTGTGTGCACGTACGGACAGGCAGACACAGACAGACGGAGAGCCCTCACACACGCACGCCTGCACAGCCGCGGGGAGAGGGGAGCGATAGCATAGTAGGGAAGAAATATTCACCTTCCCGCCTCATGCCCACTTTGAGGCACTTCTTGAGGCGGCAGTACTGGCACTGGTTGCGGTGGTGCTGGTCGATGGGACAGTTCCTGTTGGCACGGCATGTGTAAGTTAAGTTCCTGCGGACGCTCCTCTTGAAGAAACTTTTGCAGCCCTCGCAGGTGAACTGGCCGTAGTGCTTGCCGCTGGACTTGTCCCCGCACACCACACACTCGATGTGCTGCTGGCTCTGCCCCGAGCCCTGCTGGCCCGCTCCCTTGTCCCCGGCCGTGCCCGGCGTGGATGGGGGTCCCGGCTGGCTGGGGGTCTGCGGGGTGTGTGGGGCTGCCGAGCCCCCCTGCTGCTGAGGCTGCTGCTCCCGGGCCGGCTGCGCCGCGGCGGGGTTGGGGCCACTCGGAGTGCCCCCGGCAACGTCTTCCTGCGGATCTCGCCAGCTGCTAACTACCATTGCCATATCTCGGGCCCAAAAAAGTGCTGGGGAGCGGCGCGTCTCGCTGCGGGCTGCCGGGGAGAGAGGCGGGGGGCGGGGGGGAGGCGGCCGGCCGGGCGCCGGGGGCGAGCAGAGAGCGAGGGGACCCTGCCTGCCGCCTGCCTCCGCCTCGGCTGCCGCCGCCGCCGCCGCTGCCCTGCTGCCGCCGCCGCTGCTGCCGGCTGGAGCCGCTCCTGCCGTTTTCTTTATTTTATTTATTTTTCGCCGCCGCGAGCCCCCCTCCTCTCGCTCGCGGTCTAGCTATTTTTTTTTTCTAGGGAGGGGGAGGGGGCGACGGAGGATTTTCTCCCTCTCTCTTTTCCCCCCCCTTCCCTTTCCTTTTCCACCCTTCCCTTTCCTTCCCTTTCCTTCCCTGCCCTTTCCTGTGCTCCCCCCCACTCTTTTAAAATACCCCCGCCTGGC